CCTGCTATGCCCCGTGATTCTGTTGATACTATTTGTGTTAGGTCTACGTAACTGTCGATGAACCATTGGTGCCTGATCGTCTATCTGAATTCTCACTGTTTTTGGATTGACCAATTTTCTTTGACCGCTATGGACAGCCTCTCGGTCACTAGGAGGGAGTTGTTCAACCTTTGCCACAGATTCGCAACGAGGAATCTTTTTATTAAGTTTTTTTTTTTATGGCAAGCCTGAAAAAACCCTGTCCTGTTTTGAGTGGTGAGTTGAAATTGATCAGCAGTTCAATGGGCTTGTGGTCCAGTCCTTTGAAGGCAGCCGAAAGACATATTTCAACTTCCTTGATTGCACCTTGCAGGCTCTCAGAGATCAGGAAGTAATCGATCCTGGACAATGAAGTCTGATTGACTAGGTTCTTTCTAATCCGAAAGAAGGCTTTTTTGTCCGGATGTAGCCTCCTAAACGGATCGATGAGTTCCTATTCTATCATCAGATTCCGTATCCAGGTTCCTGCTCTTGTGGGACCCAATATAAGTGTCCTAGAGATTTGATCCAAGTTGGGGTCCATAGTTGTGTTCCAATCCCCTGCGATGATAACCGGTTGCGGGTTGGGGATAAGAGGTTTGATGTTCTCAAAGAAAATCAGTCGTTCGGGTTCTGCGTTGGGTGCGTACAGGTTGAGGATCCTCAACTCTTCGTCTTGCCATCTTATGTCTAACCATGACCATCTACCCTTGCTGTTCAAGATTTGACCTTCAATCGGAATTTTGGACGTCCTTGGTATGAGAATTGTTGTTCCTTTCATACTCAGACCCTCTTTGTTGGACCATCGGGCAAAGGCACACCCACCAACTGTCTTTTCCACGGTTTTCTATATTCGGGTGTGGTTGTTAAGATTTGATAGGTGCGTCTTTTGAAGTAGTATCACATCGGGTTTGGGATGATCTTTTCCTGTCAGACCGAGCCGAATGTCCCTGATTTTATCTTCCTCGGCTAAGACATTCCCTAGACCACTGACGTTCCAGCAGAGTATTTGGAGGTCCTTGGCATGCCAGTTGGTCTTTGGTGGGTTGCCTTGTCCACATCTAGTGTTCGTGAGCCTCGACATTGTCTGATTCATCCTCCCCCTCTTTATTCTTTTTTTCTTTTTTCCTTTTCCTTGGTTGTCTTCTTGACTTGGATGCTGCAGTGTGTTTTGCTTGTGTGGACATGATTTAATTAGTGTTTGGGGTTCGTTTGCAGTCCACTGCTGCCTCAGTCTCGTGTGGTCCGGGTGTGTCTGTGCCTTGAGGGGGGTGTGTCTGGGGCCGGTGGGTGGGCACAAGTTTGGTTTATGGGATGGGTGAAGTAAGTTCGTTAATTTTCGGCTGATGTTTTGGATTTGTTTTGGGGTTTTATACTGTTGTGGTCCTATGGTACAAATGTGTAGGAGTACTGTGTACATAGCGTGGTGTGTTGTTTGTTTGCCGTGTGTGTCTGGGGCCAGTGGGTGGGGCACAGGTTTGGTTTATGGGATGGGTGAAGTAAGTTCGTTAATTGCTGGCTGACATTTTGGATTTGTTTTGGGGTTTTATACTGTCGTGTTTGTTAATTGCTGGCTGATATTTTGGATTTGTTTTGGGGTTTTATACTGTTGTGGTCCTATGGTACAGTGTGTAGGAGTGCTGTGTACGTAGCGTGGTATTTTGTTTGTTTGCCGTGTCTGTGTTGGTGTATTGTGCGTGTGTGTGAGTACGTGTGTTTGTGTGTGATTGTGGAGTTTTATGCTGTGTGTGTGTGTGTGTGTGTGTGTGTGTGTGTGTGTGTGTG